GGTAGTTTTTCATTGTATTCTGCTACAGTAGCATTTTATTTCTATCTATCTCTAACATGAATATGTCTGGAATATTTGCAATAAAAAGTTGAAAGTACTGAAAAGAAGTAACTAAAATTTAATTTGGTTATTTTTAGTACTTAATCTATACTTCCCTATATATTTATTTTTCTTCCATGTCAAGTCTAGTTGGCATGTATCTATAAAAGTGCATTTCCAAAACAGTAATATGGCCAAGCTCTAAATTAACCATTGGCCTAATTGCACCATTTTTTTCCTATGAGAACTTAAATTATGTATTGTTTAGAACAAAGGTTTCCAAAGTGAAATACACTTCTACCTTAAATACTGAGAATTACCCCTAAAAGAAAAGCTATCTTTCCTAAGACAGGATATACCTTTATTAAGTCATACCGCCTTCTTAAAGTGAACAGATCCTCACCAATAAGTCCCAGAACCACAGCAAGTGAGAGTCTGATATCTAAATTTCCCCCCTTCACAGCTTCTCCTACAAGCTGAGTTTCACTCTATTTCCAGTTGATTTGCTCTTGTCCAAAGATATCCTAAAATCCATCAAATAAAAGATTTCTCAGTAACTATTGCCCTGTTTTTTATTGGCTATGTATCATCCCTTTCGGCCCATTCAGTATGCCTTTCCCCAGAAAAGTTCTCTGGCCTGTCATCTTTAAAAATGTTGTTTCAAAGCATCTCAGATTGAGCCTTCCTCCATGAATTACAAAATATATTTTAAGATTAGGATAGCAAAGCCAGTGTATAGGAGAAAGTGTAGAGGATTTCTATTAAAGGAAGTATCCTTGTCCTGTTATACATCTCAAATGCAGTAGATAACATGCCTCAATACTGAAAAACTCTTGCATACAGGTTGCAGGGATAGCTCATGCAAGTATCCTTTATTTTAATGACAGTAAGTCAGTAGCAGACTAACCAGGTTAAAGCCCAGAGAAGTCCAGGTGTTAAGTTATGGAGAAGAAGGAATGCAGAGGACACACTGGCAATCAGCTGGCAATGAGGGGCTATTTCATTATTTGTAGCTAGGCCTATGAAAAAACACCAGACTTTGAGACTTAAGTTCTGACTCTGTAACAACTGTAAAGGCTCACTACTCCTCTGACTCTGTAACAACTGTTCTGACTGTTCTGACTGTAACAACTGTAAAGGCTCACTACTCCTGATTAAAGTTATTGAATAAATTGCTGCATGCACACAAGCTGGCTAATCAGTGGAGACACACAAATAAGCACAGTAGCAGAATTTGACTTTGAATATACATGGACACATGGACAGTGTTTGACAGCACAGGGGGCTCCTTCCCATCTATGCACAACACGGTGACTTTACCAGGGCTGCTGTGCAGGAGCAGCCTTCTTGGCTGAAATCACGTCATGTGTTTTTGACCACTCTTCTGCCTGTTCTGTCTTGCACCTTCGCTTCTAGCTGCATCTTAAGTCATTAGCACACTTGCAAAGCAAGTGAAGATGATCTTAAGGACGGTTCTTCAAACTGTAATACTCTGAATAAGATTTATCTCACCTAAACTGGGATATTCACAGCGTAGATAACCTAAATCTAATCTATGTGCCCAGATTCAACTAATAGCCAATGGAGAGACACGAATCCTTCTGGCAGTGCCACTTACCTCTTCTCCTAGGGGATGTCTGAAAGAGGCTACGTGAATTGCCCTCAAAAGGGCCTGTTACCTTCCATTAATTATAAAGCAAACCTAGAGAACTGACTCAGATGTAAATCTCTGTACTGTGATTGTGTACGTTAGGAGAAATGAGGCTCAACTGTTCCTGTGTTTTGTCTTTATAGCGTAGATCATATATTTGAGATGGTCTAAAGAGGCCCAAAAGCCTCACTTTCATATGGAAGATTGTCTTGTCTGGACACGTACCACAAAATACAGTTTTAAAAATGCCTGTTAAGGAGTCAGATTAAAGCTTGGCATATCAGAACTGCCAGATAGAGATATGCTGTAAAGATTCTTGAAAACAACAGTCTCTAAAGCAGTATAGAAAGACTCCCATAACTTGACAAGCAATACTTACAGCCCAGAGTTTTAACAGGGGCTTGTTTATGCTCTATAACCAGAAGCCAGAAGCAGAAAGGGATGAAGACTGCACCACTGTAACTTTTGTCATCTCTAGGTAGTTAATTTTGTCTCTCTTAGGCTATGTCTTCACTGAAAAAAAAAGTTTTATATCTACGTACTCGACCCAAGTTTATAAATCGTGATAAAAATTACAAGGCTTTGTCCCTATCAAAACTTTACAACTTTATAGTATCTGTGATTAAATTATACTTCAGCAAAAATACATCTTTTTTTTGTGATAAGAACAAGCCATAGTCTTTTATTATTCTATCGTAAAGTCAAGTCAGATTCCAAAGATGATGAGTGTGTGGGATAAAGGATACTGCTCTGGTCAGAGACTGCCATCTGAGTCAATACTAACAATAAGTCCCTGATTACTCGAATAACGTTTTACAATCAAATCAGTAATTTGATACCCAAGCCACTGCATCACACTACTAATATTTCAAACCTCTCGATGTCCAGACATGAACAAGATCTGACATTAGGACATTAGGCCTGGTTCACCTGAAAAAACTGACTAAAATTATTTTTAATTCAATAACCTTTTTTCCAGAAGGTCCATATGGGAACTATTCGGGAACAATTACAGCAGAATAACATAGTCTGGTCTACTTCCCTTGTATAGATAAACCCTTGCTCTAATATAATTCTACTGATTTCAGAAGAATTACTCTCAATTTTTCCCAAGTGAGAGACGAGACTCAAGCTCATTGCATGAGCTGATCACCTTCGTACTTTAAATCTATAAAATTGTATTCAGTTACTGATCTTTGTTGTCTCTAGAGTTAGAGGTTCCATTCATCCCATTATAGTCATCCAGTGGGCATCAGGGTCTAAGGCCAACATATCACTTTATCCTTTATCTGGCTTCATATTTTTTTTCCTAAACATGAAATAATCTCTAATATCGTGTACAGAAATTTATGCACCACATTCTTCAGTGTCAGTTTGGAACGTAAATGTGATCATACGTCTTATCAACAGGAAAAATAGGAGAAGGAATGGATGAATGTAATCTCCGAAAGAAATCTCGCACATTTTTAAAGAAGGTAAAAAAAACCCACATTTGCTTCAAGAAGTTATTTTTATATATGTTAGCAGGACACAGACTGTCAATCACTGTGTACATCCATCTTCAAGCCCTCCTTGAAATGCCTGATGTTATACCTAGCAGATTCCCAAATCAACCAGATTACATGATGGAGGGCTCAGAAGGTGAGGCATGCAAGAAATGCACTTCCCTCACAGGAATGTAGATCAGCTCAACTAGAAGCAGTAGCTCAGATGTCGCAATACAAATTCCATCAAATCTAAAATGCCACAGTTATTTAAACAATCTAAAGTCTACATAGGAGGCATCTTAAACATTTATAATTAATAGTTATTTACATAAAATATAAACAATAGCAAGCAATAAATTTTTCTCACAAGTAGGATTTTTTTTGAAAAAATTAACTGAATTACGTTTTTAATAAAATGGCCTACATGCAAAGGTAATTAGCTGCAGTTTGTGCCATTTTTCTCTCACATTGATGTTAATCACATGAGAACTAGTATTGGAGTTTGCAAGCCCTTTACTCCAGCTCCCTATATTTACTTGTTACTGGGAAACACATTGCCATTCATATGAAAATTATGAAAAATTCCAACATTATCTGTTTAAATTCTATGTAATCAAACTTGGGTAGGTCAGTGCTCCCTATTGATTTCAGTTAGAGTAACCTCTGTTTATGTCAATTAATGACGGCAGAAACAAGCCTAATCAATAGCTACTAATCTTAAATATCTTTACAAGAAGCACTGGCACTTTAAAACAAAACACTGCTGCTGTTGTGTGTGTGCATGTGTACATTTGCATCTGTGTGGGCATTTTACTGCAACAAGTTTCCTGAGTTTGGGCTTTGATCTTTGCAGGTGAAGTCTGAGTAACATCTAAAACATACTGAAGCAAGTAACATTCCTTCTAATTACATAACTTCCCAGACGACGATGGAAAATACAGTATGCAATCATATGGTTAATGTCTTTAAAAATACAGCACATTCACAAAGTAGTCAAAGTCACATTGCAGAGGCAATCTCAATTCTTACATTTTCTAAGTTCTGAATGCTTGACATTGAGACATGAATAACATTCATGTAGTGTATTTTTAGCTTATTTCTTACAGGAACAAAACGTAGATCATTGCTTTGAATGTCTGTCTTTCCATCTGGCACTCCTTAACTTTTGAATCTTTTGGACAACTTGTGTCTATCTGAAAAATATAGTCCATTATTTTCCTACAAGTTTCATTAAAATGAGCAGCTAGGTAAAGAGTTTTAGTGAAAGCAAGAGTCACTAAGAACAGAGCTCTTAACAGCACAGCACAGCTCTTAACCTTAACAGTTTGACAGCAACCAGTTAGCCAGTCAGGGTGCATGTACTGGCCAGCTGATCAAGATATGCATAGCTCTAAATTAGCCATAGTATATGCTGTTTCTTGCCTAGAGGCTTTCCCATAGGGATAGATAAGGAATAAAGAATACAAATCCCTAGGAAACCAAGTATCATTAGCTTCTGTTTCTCATAGAACAAACAATTTCCCATATATTTTTTATTACCTGTGGTCAGAGAAACAGAATTCTAAATTAAAGCACAGGCAAAAGAATTAACAGATATTTTCAATATTTTATATTTACATATGAAGCGCACGAAGTCCACAGAGGACAAATATTTCTCATTCTAATACCACTGAAAATTTGGAATGCAAGTGATATGTTGCTTTGTCTTCATGCAGAGGTGATACTGGCTGGCTGTGCATGTGTCTGTAGGCTCAAGGCATTCGGAGTCTGGTGGTAATGTGTTCAGTTCTGTAGACACATCTGACTTCTCTCTTGTCTTTCAGAGGGGAGAGTGTAGTCCCTAAGGCAACAACAGTGACTATGGAGTCAGGGAAAATGACACATCCGCCATCTTCTTTCTTTGTGAGCTAGAATTGATTCATTCACTGTGACCTTCTCTGATTATGAGAGCGGTAAGAAGTTGCTTTAGTTATTTTTTAGGAAAGATAGATTGCATGTGTTTGTTTGTATTTTAAACTGTTTGAAATAAGACCTCAGCTGCTCAGCACCATGAAAATTATTCAGTGTCTGAAACTAAACATCCAAAATCAGAAGTACTCAAAAGAACCCACTACTTTTGTTTAAGGTCACACAAATAAATTTGCAAAGTGAAGAACAGTAGATTGACCTACATGCTCCTAATCTGGCTCTTATTATAACTCACTTTAAAACTTCACTTATTTAATTGTTGACATAAAGTATCATTGAGGCCTGATTACCATTTAATCAAGCTGATTACATCAAAATATATGCTGGCCTCAGCAATTCAAGATGATTTATGTACTATACAATTTGTGCAGACCAATAATTGCAGTTGTGTGAATTTTCTGCAGTGAAGATGAGGCAAATATATTTTTAATTGCTAAACATAAAACAATCTGTTTCATAGATTCCTGAATGGCAAAGATAAATCATGAAGACAACTAGAGAGAGAAAAGCTGTTGGCATAGAAACTTCACAGTTAAAAATGCCTCCTGCTCTCTCGAAACGTCAGATTTTGATAACTAGGTTGGATTCCCTGCTCCTCATAGTAAACTATTTGGCCAAACAAGTGCTGGCATGAAGCTTTAACAACACATAATCTACAGTGGTTGAGTAAAGCCATATGTCTATACTTCACTGTAGTACAAGAGCAGAAGTTGCTCAAATTCCTTGGACTGCATACTGGAGGAGAGATATCAATATTATTTATGAGAGTCAGATGTTGGATATTCTGTCATTTTTGACAAAGACATTACTTGAGTTTTACAGAAGCTCATCAAACTTTGCATTACTCAGACTTCAAGTAAATTTAGCTCCTTGTTTGCGTACAGAATAATAACCATTTAAAACTCTTTTCAGTCTAAAGTTGCTAGCCCTCTAAATTTGTGTTAGTCACGCTTTTTTCTAAAAGGCAGCTATTGTACAAATTGAGGCTCGACTAACTGGGAAGAAACAAAGCATTCAAACGCCTGCTTATCAGAATGTGGCTGTACTAACTATTTCAAGAAGAAAAAGAAATAGGAAGACATTCCAAATAGCATTGTTGCAAATTGACTTCTGCTTAGATCAGCTATTTCATATGCTCTCAGTGCTCTCTAGGGTTGGTGCAAATAAATGGAGAGTCCTCTATGAAATCAGTCAGATAAGCTTGCCTGCAAGAAACAAGATATCCTTCCATCATATCTGCTATAAATGGCTGCCACAGCAAAATGGAGAACAGTACAATACTTCAGATGAGGTCTAGTAATGAGCATATCTAAAACATACACGCATATTTTCCCCAGCATAATTCTCGTCATCTTCAGAATCATCTGCCAGCAGGAAGCAGCTTCAGCTGGAAATCCGTTAACTTTGATGTAAAAGGTAGCCACTTCACTGTCTCCTCTCCTTCTTAAAAGAAAGAAGCAGTGGTTCAGATGGAGAAAAGGAGAGGGTTCTGCCACAATAGATATGGTAGCATTACTCAGTAATTATATATTATTTTGATTTTTAGAAATAGGAAGAAAGTATCAGAATGTTCACTTGTAGGGAATTTTGGGTTGGGTACCCCTAGGTTTATATTTTATCCTTTTATCATTCAAAACAAGAAAAAAAATCTGCTAAAGTATAAATATACTAAAAATCCTTCAAGCCTATTAGCTGAACAGTGATTTTTAAAACCGCATGTGCTTTCAGAGGCAAGGATGTCCTCTTTTTTTTTTCTTTTGTAAAGCCAAATATATGCTACCCAGTAGTATTTTATTTTATGACAACTGATTTCCATCTGAGGAAAAGATTGTGAGAGTGTATAACCCCAAGCCAAGCTGCTGTATTTAAAACTGGGGAAACAGATTTCAAGTACACTGTAAAACTGGGAGGTCCTTTTGCTATGCAGTAGATCTCAGTGTGTAAGCGCTAACTATAGAAGGAAGCATTTCTCATCACTATCTTTTCCCCAAGGCTAGGTTCATGAACAGCACCGTGATACTGTAATTGAACAGCAGAAAAAGTAATGATACTATCTGAATCCCTAACAGAGGAAACGCAACCAATCATTTTCTTTGTGAGAGCTGCAAAACAACTGCTGTACTTAAATGTGAACAACACTAGAGCAATACTTTTCTTTCCAACCCAAGATCCACATATTGTCACACTTAAGAATAATGATAATAGAAATCTATGGGCAAACTGCTTAGTAATTCTTATTCTAATCTGTAATCACATCAGAAAGCTAGCTCAGAAAAAACATCTTCAGGCTTCCTTGGAATTTTATTCTCTTCTTCAAATGCACATGTAACTCAATCAATAGAAGTAATATATGCATCATATTATTAAGAGAAAATAGACTCTTCAGTAGTTCCAGCAGATGTTTTACTCCAAGAAGGAAGGATCATTTTTGCTAGCTTGGCTGCTTCACATTTAAACGTAATGTTCCTGAAATGTATCTTGTCTTTATGAAGAAATAAAATATCAGTAGAGCTACATAAAATTGTACTAAATAGCATCAGAATAAGAGTGGAAGGACTATCAAAATATCTTATTTTAAATGTTTATTCTACACCGCCATCTAGTTTAACTCCTTAGAAACTGAAAAAAATAAGAATCTAAGATGTTGGAATTTACCCTCTCTATTTAGACAGATTGAGATGCAAAGATGGGTATTACCTAAGCCTGCTACATGAATAGAATATAATTTAATGTACAGGAAGTTCAGCCAATACTTTCATTACCTATCACTCCACAGTTATTCCAGGGATAAATGGTTAAGCCATAGTGATCATTGTACTAAAAACATGCATACCTGGGGAAAAAAAGATTAAAGTTAAGGCAACTCAGATATCATTACAACCTTTAGAAATTCAGATGCCACAAAGGACTGTCTTGATATGATACCTCACCAAAAATTTGGTTTTTGTCAAACCTTAAAAATACATGATAAGGAACCAGAGAGAGGCCCAGGTGTACCACTGGCAGAAGAATGAAGAACCTTACTGAAAGATGTGGTGCTGCATCCATCTTTCTGTAGCAGAAATGAATTTGGCTCCCTTAGTTGTTTCGTATCACTATAAAAAGTAATCTGAATAACGCTTTGCCAAGGGAAAGCATTAAGAAGCTCAGGTCACATTCTAACAGAAAAATGAGGGAAACAGCTAGTTTAGGGGCAAGGCATAAAAAACGTACAGGCATTGGACTCTCAAGAAAATAAAGGATGCACCTGGAAAGTATCTTCCACTACGAGGCTTCTCAAACCGTATGCCATTCTAACATGACTTTGTTGAAAAACTTCACTATTACTATGCTTTCCTCTTGCCGTAATAATAAACAGAATTTACTGTCTGTTTAAATTGTAATTTACCAGGCTAATACAGCAACAATGCTAACTGCTTTGAAACTAGCATGCAACTCTGAAAGTGGGACATAACGAGTGAAAGTTTCTGCTTCCTGTATGTTTGCAAAACAAGCTTCAGGGTCCAAGTATAGAAAAGTGAGGTAGGGAGGTCTGAACATATGTGCTCTGGGAATCTTTAGAAAAAGGATATGCCACATCAATAAACTGCAAGATGGCTTACCCCTAGAGAAAGCAGACAAGCTCACACAACTCTCCGTGTCATTTAATTCTCTTGGTTGCCAGCAAGAAAACTAGCACATTGCTTTAACTTCATTTTCTCCAAAACTCTAGAGCTTAGTGTATTCACTTTTTTCTTTCATAATGAGAGTTTAAAAACAGTAAAAAATATGAATACATGACTGCAGGAAAACTACTAATTCTTTGCAGAAAAAACAGATCAAGGGACAAGGGGAAAGATGTTCCACTAAAATGTAAAAACCTGCTCTTTTACATTTTTGCATTTCAAGATCTAGCCTAATCCAAAAGAGACCATGAGCAATCTGTTTCCAGAATCTTTATTTTGTTCTCTAAAAATTTTACTGTAAATAAACCATACTAAATTATTTAGATTAGTTTGACAGATTAAGGTTCTACTTTCATGAGATCTCACATAAAGCTTTTACCAGCAAATGATCACTTCTGGGACAATATTTCAGAAAATCTCCACAGAAAAACCATTAGCACTATATACACAGTCTTCCTGACAAAAACATCTTCTACACATCTTCTGCCTCCATACACCTTAGAAACAGAAAAAAAAGTTAAAGAAACCTCTTCCCATCTGGTAAGATTATACTTGCTATTATTAATCATCCCTTAAGAAATATCTTTTTTTTAACAATAAATAATTTACAAGCAAAAGCTGAAAGGAGAAAACATTGCACATGGTCGCATAGAAAGGGTTAGAAGGTATTCTAAAACGTGTAAGAAAACTATATGAAAGTACATATCTTAAAATAGGAGAAAAATGGAGAAGTCCTGAATTACTGACTCTATTTTTCCTCAAGTATTTTTGAGGCAGAGTTCTCACTGGAGTATGCTGAACAGTGCATCAGAATCAGAACAAGATGACCTGATTTTATGCTATGCTGAAAAATGTGTGACTTTAGAAAAAGTCACTTATTTTCTTACAACTTAGATTTCATCTTTCAATAATGAGGTAATGTTTTTACATTATCAAAGGATGCTTCAAACACTTGAAATATATACCATTTCTCAGTTGAATTACCTCCTCATGGAAAAGGAGAGCCACAATCCATTCCTTGCTGGAATATGTGCTTTTGTTACACATGGGCAACTGAATAAAACACTACTACTGTCCTCTCCTCCTTTTTTCTTCTCTTCTTTCCCCTAAAGGATCAGTAGGATGTGGGGGAAAAAGACATTCACCTGATATCTTTGAAGTCAGAAGCATGCTGAGGAGATGGAAGCATCCTATGCAAGGCAAGGAAGAAGGCCTTCCATATACAGGATACATCTAATGGTGAAGCACAAGGACTAATGGTTTGCTAAAGCTGCACGGTTAGCAGGAGGAACAGAGATATCACAAAGTTACAATATCACAAAGCTCCCTTCCAACCTCGACTGTTCTGTGAATCACTCTTTTCCATACTTCAAGATAGTACCACCTCTTATATAACATTCCCTGGATGTATTTCACAAAGGAGTGAGATAGACAGAACTGCTGAAGTCAAAACTATAGTTGTGTATAGTGAGTAACTGCAAATTTACTGGGGGGGGGGGGGGGCAAAAAAATTAAC